CCCCCCGTTGAGATGGTTTTTGCCAAATCCAGGAGTTGATCAGCAAGCTGTTTTGGAATGTCGATAGAAGCGGGCAGAGGGGTTCCCCAGGGTTCCCCGATTCACAGCCCGCCCCCTCAGATCAGTCTTGGCACTTGCGGCACTTCTCCATTGAAAAGGCTAAGAGAAGTAGGCAGTGCTGGAGATATATGTCAATAAAAATAAAAAGAATAGTAAAAAAAAAAAGAGGAAAAGATCTTCAGTGGGAAAAGTCTCCTGGACTAAGCCAGATGCCCCTTCCAATGGAGGCCACACCCTCCGAACTTTCAGCTCCCAGACCACACCGCCTGGCAAGCGATGTGTTGTCCTTGGAGACGGCGCCTCTGGAGGGCATGTGGCATCTTCGCTGCGGCTTCAGCGCTGTTTGTCATGAGCAGATCTGTAAAGGGGCCTCCAGGTCAAATGACCGAGGGCATGTGTCTGTTTAATTTTGTAAAGTCAAGAAGCCTGTCCAGCTTAGGGGTTTAGAGATGGGTGTGTGACAGGTATGGGAGGGAACCTGGATCGTGCACTCTGGCTGCGAGGGCAGACGACACCCAAGCAGTTTCCGTTCTCATTGCCCCTCCCTTGTGCTTTGATTTCATTTGTACGCTCACTTCTGATTCCCATCACCATTCACCCTGCACATCCTTCTAGGGGACGCCACCCCACTCCCCCCAGGCTGTGTGCCCTGCCTTCCCAGGCACCAGCTGAAGCTGAACTGGGGAGGCCCCCTCTCTTCTAGACAAAGGAAAAGGAGGGCTTTTGCGTTACTGTGCAGCCAACCTCATCCCCCTTTGTGGCCTGAATCCACCCAGCAGTGAGGGTCACTGTGGGCTCAGCTCTGGGGTGTCCCTGCCGTGCCTTCGTTTATTAATGAGGCCACTAGGTGGCGCGCAAGGATCAGTGGAAGAGCCTGCACTTCACCCACAGGCCTAGGGCGGCTGGGCAGCTGCCAATCTGAGTGAGCCCGGGAACCCCAGTGCCCACGGTGACCCCAGCGCCCACGGTGACAGTGACCTGTACCGGTTCCTTTGACCAGGTTCTGAAGACAGGCATCCAGGCAACAACGAGAGCCATTCTTCCAGAAGAAGAAACCGACATTCCAAGTCAAAAGTCACCAACGGCGTTGGAAAGAAATGAAGACCTGGTTAATCCGCGTGTTCCGGAGAGTGCCTAGGACTGAGGGAAGCGGAACCATTGCACCTCCCGCGAGGAGGTCGACACGGACAGTGCGGACGGGAGGAGGAGAGGGGACTCGGGGGGTGTGTCATCATCTGAGGGTGCAGTCTTTCCCACAGACACGGCCACAGCAGGCAGACACTGCCTGGGGCCCTTTGCCAAGGCGGGTCTCTTTAAGGTCAGCACTTGGCATGCGGTCACCAGTAGCAAGCAGGACGTGTTCGAAGGAAAAGGTCGCTGTCCTCACAGCTGCCAAGAGCCGTGTGCGCTGGCGAGTCCTGTGGGCACGGGAAACTCTTCCCTCGCCTGGGCGTTAGCCATAGAGCTGTGCACGGCCCCAGGCGTTAGGAATCTGCCTTTCCATTCGATTGGTTTACACTCAGGCCGCTTGTCTGTATTTTATTTTGTTGTTATTTGTTTTTAAGTCAGGATGCTTAACCACCTTCAGAAGCCACTGCTGGAGCTGAACTGGGGAGGCCCCCTCTCTTGTAGACAAAGGAAAAGGAGGGCTTTTGTGTTACTGTGCAGCCAACCTCATCCCCCTTTACAGCCTGAACCCACCCAGCAGGTGTGAACCAGTCTGAGGAGAGGTTAGCCGCCTACGCAGGAGCCTGGGCTTCAGATCAGAACCGGTTTTGTCCCAGTCGGACCCTCACTGTCCACACTCGCCCACAGTGCACTCCGCGGCCCTGCTGGAGGGGCTGCGCTCGCCCCGCCCACAGCCAGGTGCCTTTACATGTGTTTCCTTCCTTCCGTGGCGTGTTGCTGACATTGTCTTTTGCTCCCTGTGAGGTGCTGTGAGTGTGCCCTTCTCCACGCCATGCTCCAGAATGTTCACCCCACAGCTCCTCGCCTCTGGCGGCTCCTGTTTCCAGTCAAACAGTCCACATTAAAGCCTGTCCAAGACCCGTCTGCCAGGTGCTCATTTCTCTGCCTCACGCTGGTCTTTTCCACTGCTTCCCAGCAATCAGTGTGTTTTCAAGGGACTCTAGGAGAATGTGACTCTGTTTTATATAGATGCACAGAAAGCCGCTGAAAGCAGGCCTTTGGTTCCCTCATTTCACAGAGCACAGAGGTGTCGATGTCTTTTCTCCCTTTAAGGAAATCTCTAACCATGGAAGTGTCATGTTTTTCTTTTTCTGCAGAAGAATTCCAGGGTGAAGGGGTTCAGTGAGTCATGCATGCCGGGTCACAGCCTGTGTCCGGGCCTCTGGCGGCTACTTGGTTGAGGGTCAGTGAGGAAGGGCCGCCGCTCGGGCTGCCGTGCGCTGTGTGAGCAGCGGCCATGGGAGCACTGAGGAGAGGCAGCGAGCTGCTTGTCTCAGAAATGCGCCCACCGGCCCGGCTGGTGTGGCCCAGTGGTTGAGCATTGGCCCATAAACCAAGAGGATTTCTGGTTGGGTTCCTCAGGGCACATGCCCAGGTTGTGAGCTCCATCCCCAGTAGGGGTTGTGCAGGAGGCAGCCAGTTCATGTTAATCAATGTTTCCATCTCCCTCTCCCCTCCTCTTTCTCTAAAATCAATTAAAAACATTAAAAGAAAAAAAAATGCACCCACGGCACTGTTAGAACCTAGCAAGCAGGCCTTTGGGAAACCGGCGCGGAGGAACCACTGTGTCCGTTGAATGTAGTGCATTTGTTTGCCCTGCACTTTGCTGTCTGGCACTGAGTGCTTCTGTGTCTCCTGCACATGCCTGCCTCCACCCTCCTCCTCTCCAGGGCCACTTTAGTGTCTGCACGTCTGCTTTCTGGGGGAGTCGGGCCCAGCGCCTTCACGCTCCGGCTGGTTGTGAGCTGGTGAATGGCTCAGTCCCACCTGAGAAGCACACTCCCTTCTAGGCCAGGGAGAGGCACCTGTTAGCCCAGGGGGGGTGACCCTGCCTTTCCTGTGGGCTGTGCAAAAAGCCAGTACACACGAGACCGTTTTCCCTACGCGGCCGTGTACGAATCGGCCAGGAAAGTCCTCAGATACTTTCTATGCCTTTTCTTGGAGTTTAAGCTTTTCCAAACCCCCTTTCAGTAAGCACTCCTGACTCCAGTGGTTACAAGACCGGTGCTTTCCATGACCGGCCAGCCCCACAGCCCCCTTCCTCCTAGAAACCATACTGTGGGTTTGGCCTACTTTCCCCACCCGTTTCTATGGAAATGGGCCTCACACTGATGGAAATGGAATGCATGTTTCAGAGACCTCATTTAATATGGGACATTATTTGCAAATTAGCACACGCTCATCATTTACAAACTGTCCTCCCAAAAGCCCACTATTTTAGACGGAATGCAGGAAGAATGTTTTATGTATTTTTCTCCTTAAGTAGCATTGCCCTGCGTGTTAGATACTTTTCCCTTTTTGTCATTGTGGGTCTTTCCGGGGCCTCTCCCGGCTTTTCTGTCTGTTTCCCATTTGTAAAAGCCCTGCCGAACTGCTCCCCTGCGAAGCCGGGATGTTCCATTGGCCCGTTAAACATTTTGATGATAAAAGACATCCTGTAAATGCCAGTCTTATTTGCGCCAGGACTTGTGCGGACAGTACTCACCCAGGAGAAATAAAATAAGATTCTCTGCACCTGTGGGTCTCCCTCCGCAGCTGCTGCGAGGCCCTTCTCAGTGATGCCTCTTGTCAAGACTCCGCCTCTGGGATGGACCCGCCGTTCTGTGTATAATAGTGCATGCGGGCAGGCCCTCACTGCGGGAGGTTGGACACAGAAAAGAAGGCCAGACACGAGGTGGAAAAAAAACACACATTGAAAGCCAGACTGAAGCGAGCGCTTCAAACACGGATCTCACTTGCGTGCTCTTGGAGTTCTGCTGGGGGAACTCCCGGCTGCCACAGTTCGGCAGGTGGGCTTCCCGTGTAGTCTTGTGCTTGTTAGGAAAACTGGGACTCCCACGGGCAGGCTGTTGCAGTCTGGAGTATATCTCCCATTTATATGATGAAAATCAAGGTCAGCCAAGACTTCTAAGTTCATCGGGATTTCATTGCAAACCCACCTCTCCTTCAGGTGTGTTCACTGAAAGAATTAGGTGTGGGATTTTGTTCTCACGGGGTCAGCCTTAGTCATGGCGAAGACCGCTCTGCCGCAGTCCGCTTGCCCATAATTAGATATTTACAGCTCTTCCCCGTGTCACATTTTATTCTAAACCTGGTGCCACAACAATCACAGGTGACTTAATGCTACAACCATTGCAGAGGAAGTAAAGAACATTTTAATTGAACTTTGGAATTATCTTTGATGCAATCCATACGGCTTTTTCATTTTGCCATCTTCTGTGAACTTAAAGGAATTATGAGTGTCTACAAAAGGAGGGCTGTGAATTTTTAGTTTGTGGGGATGCTAAGAGGTAAAGTCCCCCTTGCCTCCTGCTTACTGAAGACTGCCTGTCATCCATTTCAGAGGCTCACCCATGACAGGGTCTGCCTGGACTTCCCTCTGTGCCTCAGTTGGGCGGGTTTGGAAGCTGTCTGACCTGAGATGTTTGCCGTCAGAATCTAACACTCAGGGATGTGCAGCAGGTCCACGTAGCCCCACGGCTCAGGGCTGACCTGTTTATACATCTTAATACTCAGGGTGAAAACTGGCCTGGTGGAGGGTGTGACAGGCACGCTTCCTGCCCACAGTGCTGGCGCAAGGGACTCGCAAGTCCCAGCATCATCTCTGGGAGCCGGGAGACGGGCGTTGGCAAATCCACCCCCTTCTGATAAACGCAATGGGGACAGGAACGTCATTCAGAAAACAGGGTTTGCCTGAGAGGTTTGCTGCCACAGCTGATGTAACCACCCAGCCAGCCTCAGCCCTGCTGGGCTCAGACTCAACCTCTGGCCGGTGTGAATCGTTTGCCTTTGTTATGGGAATGCTCTGAAAACACCCTGCCCCGAGGCCTGCCACTGGCGGGCACCCTCATGCCCAGCGGTGGCAGGAAGAGTTCCTCCGAGCTGCCTGGCCTCCTGCCCCTCCACACAGTCTCCCCAGCACCTCAGATACCATGTTCCCTGCCTCCATAGGATGCTGAGCAAAGGGAACTGTGGCTTTACAGACCACAGGAAATGAGGTTTGTTTGCCATTAAACGGAAAATAGAAACATTGGAGACTGAAGAACCAAAATGGTGCGTTTTCATGTCTGAAGCAGACACACAATAGCCGTAATGACAGTGTGGAGTCCCAGGCAGGGTGCTCGTCAGTCCACACGGGCAACCCTGGATGGCAGACCTGCGCCTGCTCGCCCGACAGAGCTGTTTCCGCCCGTTCTCGGAAATCCAACCGCCTACAGCGTGGCCTGGAGAGGTGCTGGATTTCACAGTGCAACCTGGGAAAGGCTTAAGAAAGCTCCACTTTTTTTTTTCTAACATCTTTATTAATTTGAGAGAGAGGGAGAGAGATAGAAACATCAATGATGAGAGCGAATCATTGATCGGCTGCCTCCTGCACGCCCCCTACTGGGGATCGAGCCCGCAACCTGGGCATGTGCCCTTGACCGGAATCAAACCCAGGATCCTTCGGTCCGTGGGCTGATGCTCTATCCACTGAGCCAAACCGGCAGGGCAAGAAAGCCCCACTTTAAAAATGTTGAGGATCCCCACCTTCTCTGAGTGGATGAAATCCAGACCAGAAGCGGGGGGAGGGGTTCACCAGGGCCACTGCAAGCGAATCTTCCAGATGAAAGCTTGCACAGCATCGGGAACCTTTGAGAGACCAGAGGGGGCTCTGGGACTCTCCCCGGAATCTTCCCAGTGGCCACATAGGCACTGGCTTCCCTGGAGAGCGACAGCGAAGCAGCATTTCATTTCCAGGGGAAAAGGCGCCCCTCACACAGCCCGCCCACCGTGTGTCCAGCACCGAATGTGTATTCTTTTTTCTCTCCTTTTTAAAAAAAATGTATTTTTAATATTTTTATTGATTTCAGAGAGGAAGGGAGAGGGAGAGGTAGAAACACCAAAGATGAGAAACAGTGATGCCTGCCTCCTGCAGGCTCCACACTGAGGATCAAGCTGGCAACCTGGGCATGTGCCCTGACCGGGAACCACTGAGCCACGCGGGCAGCGGAATGTGTGTTCTTGAGTCCTGCGAGTTTGCTGTGTTACCCCATTTTCCAAGGCCTGGAGGCTTCGAGGTTAAGCAGGTGAACAAGAGCACGCAGCCACCAGGGGGCGTCGGGGAGCCGGAGCCTAAGGTTCACTCCAGGCTCCTGGACTCCTGTGCACCCATCTCACCTCCTATAGGATCGAGTCTCCCCTTGCGCCCCGTCTCGGCCTCAGCAAAGCACGCCCCCCCACCCCCCCACCCCCGTCTCCCTGCCTTCGGAAGGGGCCCGAGGACTCAGTTCCAGGCGCTGGCTGTGTGAGGGACGCCACGACTCCGAGCCAGCCTCCAGATGTGGGCCCGGGTGTGATGGCTGCTGCTGGGGGGAGGGGAGGGATGCCTGTCAGGCTGCGGTGCCTCTCGCTCCCAGAAGCAGGGTCCTCTCTCTCCATGCGGTTCCTTTCCTGGTGTCCTGATGCATCCTGCAAACTCGGAGGCAAGGCCTCCTGCCTGGAGCGCTCCCCCTGCCCTCAGGAATCTGATTTACGATCTGGCGAGGCCATAAACCTCCGCTCTTCACTTCTGAAAAACAGCGAAGTCTGGGAAAGAATGTAAATCATAAATACCGAATTCCTACGGTCAGCAATACTGTAAGGGCCCGGGTCGTTGGCTTTTAAATATGATGTGCATATGGCTTTCATTTCTAAGGGGCTGGCTTCTCCCACCACCGTCTTTCCAGGGAGAGCAGATAACGGGGGTGAAACGTCCCCCGGAGATGCTGTTTTCCCCAAACGAAAATTAGCATTTTTCTGATGACCCGCTGCCAAATAGTTTGAAGTGCCACTCTTCACCGGGCGGGATGGGACAGTAGGTGACGTCTGCGTCCTCCCCGGCCTGC